CTGATCCCCGGGTTCCTCACGGGAGTGAGTGCTGGCGTGAACCACAGTGATGCCCAGGCTCCCCGCCCCTTAAGTGGTCCTGTCCTGGTGCCGCCTCTGCCCGCTCCTCCCGGGGCATGCTTCTCTGGTCCTGTCTGGTGGCACTGCCACCGGCGAACATCAGATTAGCTAAGAAAGGCACCCGGCACCCGGGAGGATTCTGGCTGTGACAGCCTGTGTCCCATCAGCGCGGGGGCGGGGGCCGCTGCCTGGTGAGAGCACCGTCCTGGAGTCATTGCCCCCTCCGTTCCCTGCCGCCTTCTTCCCTCTCCTCGGCTTCCCCAGGGTCACTTTCACGGAGATAATCCCGGGTTTGTTGTGAGAAGAGATGGCAGCGTTGCTTGTTATAAACCTGTGTTTACGGCCAATACAGGTGCTGCCCAACCGTCAGCGCCACCTGCAGACCCTGCAGCTGCCCGCTGTCCTGGGGCCTCAGGCCCGCACCCCCAGATCATCCTGGCACACGCACGCAGCCCTTCCTCTGGTCATCTGGTCATCCGCCCTGAGAACCAGCTTGGCAGGGCGGCTGAAGGCAAAGGCTGGGAGGCCTGACCTCAGGGTGTGAGGCCTCACGTCCTGGGAGCGGAGGGACATGCCAAGGTCAGGGGGCATCCTGGGAGCGGAGGGACATGCCAAGGTCAAGGGGTCCAGCCTCAAAGCCCAGAGGGAGAGGCAGAGCCTTCGGGCTGTGGGAGTGGGTGGGAGGGAGAGGACTGTGGAGGGGGAGCCCCAGCCCCTCACGGCGGCTCCTGGGACTTCGCGTGGTCCACCTCTTCTAGCAAAGCCTCGAGTTTCCGAGTTTCCCTGGGATGTCTGCCTGCCTCCTTCCTCAGTTGGAATCACACTGTTTGGAGGGGACCTGGGTGGGTCAAGCCCAGTCTCCGTCGCTGTCTGAGTCTGTGCTCCCGCCTGCCCACAGGTGGCCAAGGGCTTCCCTCAGGCTCCCTGAGTGCAGGGAGCTACTTCCTGGCGCCCAATATTTTGCTTATTAAAAAAAAAGAAGAAGCAGAATCATTTTTATTTTCTGAATGTAAACAAACAGGGGCTAAACTTTCTGAGGAGGGACATGCCAAGGTCAGGGGGCATCCTGGGAGCGGAGGGACATGCCAAGGTCAAGGGGTCCAGCCTCAAAGCCCAGAGGGAGAGGCAGAGCCTTCGGGCTGTGGGAGTGGGTGGGAGGGAGAGGACTGTGGAGGGGGAGCCCCAGCCCCTCACGGCGGCTCCTGGGACTTCGCGTGGTCCACCTCTTCTAGCAAAGCCTCGAGTTTCCGAGTTTCCCTGGGATGTCTGCCTGCCTCCTTCCTCAGTTGGAATCACACTGTTTGGAGGGGACCTGGGTGGGTCAAGCCCAGTCTCCGTCGCTGTCTGAGTCTGTGCTCCCGCCTGCCCACAGGTGGCCAAGGGCTTCCCTCCGGCTCCCTGAGTGCAGGGAGCTACTTCCTGGCACCCAATATTTTGCTTATTAAAAAAAATATAGAAGCAGAATCATTTTTGTTTTCTGAATGTAAATAAGTTATTTTCTGATTATTATTTACATGTAGGAATTTTATAAAGAATCCCATCACCCAGAGCTATCTCTGTATGTTTTTGTATTTATATCTATGCATGGGATCATATTCTCTATTGGCTGGGAGTCGCTTAAACAAACAGGGGCTAAACTTTCTCAGAGGCAGAGCCTTCGGGCTGTGGGAGTGGGTGGGAGGGAGAGGACTGTGGAGGGGGAGCCCCAGCCCCTCACGGCGGCTCCTGGGACTTCGCAGCAAAGCCCCTCTTCTAGCAAAGTCTCAAGTTTCCAAGTTTCCCTCGGATGTCTGCCCGCCTCCTTCCTCAGTTGGAATCACACTGTTTGGAGGGGACCTGGGTGGGTCAAGCCCAGTCTCCGTCGCTGTCTGAGTCTGTGCTCCCGCCTGCCCACAGGTGGCCAAGGGCTTCCCTCAGGCTCCCTGAGTGCAGGGAGCTACTTCCTGGCGCCCAATATTTTGCTTATTAAAAAAAAAGAAGAAGCAGAATCATTTTTATTTTCTGAATGTAAACAAACAGGGGCTAAACTTTCTGACGGAGCTAGAAGACCAGTGTTGGCTGACTTTGGTTCATGAGTTCACAGGCCCAAAATCTGTGCGAAACTCTTGGCATTTTCCTCAAGGTTCCCAGACAGCTGCAGCCACCGAGTCTGTACGCAAGGCCAGCAAAACTAATCACTTCTGCTTTTTTCTTCAGAAGTGACCCCATCAAATTTCTCTTCAGGTCTCACTGGCCAGACTGGCCTCGGCGAGCAGGGTTGGGGTGACTGGCTTCGGGCCAATCCTAATTTACCACCTGGGAGTGGGCACGTCATCATCAAGGAATGAGGGAATTAATAGTGTTTGCTGCATCCTACTTTATAACCTCTCTTTTTATTAATTACATATCATCAACATCTTCCCACATCAAGAAATGAGGAGAGTCATCATTTTAATGGCCGTACACCGTTCCCTGGCATAGCAGGGGCGTTCGTTAGTCAATCTCGTGTTGCCGGCTGTTTGGATTATCCCTATGGTTGAACCATCGTGAACAAGGCCACAGTAAACGCCTTCTGGAGGTACATCTTGGCTGATTGTTTCCTTAGAGAAGTTTCTACTTGTGGGGGCACTAACCACACGCTGCCCTATTACCCCCCAACACTTGGATCATTTCTGTTCCCAAAAGCAATGTAAGACAGAACCCTGCTCCTCCCCACTCTGCCACCTGTTATTGTCATCTTTATAAAGTGTGGCCACAGTGCCATGGGTGAAACCTGGTTTCTGGTTTTAATTTGCATTCCTTTGATTATATCTGAGGTTGACCATGTTTTCATTTGTTTTTTTGTTTGTTTTTTGTTTGTTTGTTTTAATCCTTACCCAAGGATATGTTTTCTTACTGATTTTAGAGAAAGAAAAATCAGAGGAGAGAGAGAAACATCGGTTGCCTCCTGTGCATGCCTTGACTGGGGATCGAACCGGCAACCTTTTGGTGTCTGGAAAGAGGCTCCAACCAACTAAGCCATCTGGCCAGGGCTCTTTTGTTTCTTTTATGGGGTCACAGATCTTTTATGTGGCTGCAATCCTTTTCCTGTGTGAGCCCCGCCCCCTCCTCTCTCTCCTCCCTCCCTCCCTCCCTCCCTCCCTCAGAACTGTGTTATAGAAACCTGTCTTCTCTCGGGCTGCCTGGCACCGTGCTTCAGCCAGGAGAAGTGGAATCTCGTCCACCTCCACCTAATCGCAGAGGACAGGGACAGGGACAGGGACAGGGACGGGTCCAGAAGGGCTGTGGCATGCCCAAGGTCGTGGCAAGCAGTCGGCGGGAACCCAAGCTCCGGCCCCAGGACCACTCTCTTGCCCAGTTAAGGGCAGGGGCCACCCCTCCATGTCTCCAGGGCCTTTTCCTCCCAGAGTGGAAACTTCCAAAGTCTCTCTGACCTCACCGGAGGGTGAAAAGAGCAGGAATTCCTGCCATGGTACACAAACCTGGAGCCTGGGGCTGAAAGCTGGAATCCGGGGTTCACTGAGACTGCCCCTCCAGCCCTGCTGCGCCCCGCCCACCTGGGGACGTGCAGGAAGACCTCCCTTTCCCCCACCCCCCTCACCCCTATTAATCCTCCAGCTAGAGGGACTGGAAGGCAGCAAGGCCAAGGGAGCAGGCACAGGGGTGGGATCTCAGGCGGAATACATGGGCCTCAGAGCTTGAGATGGTCAGAGAGAGCGGAGCAGAGCCCCCTGTACCCCTGCTCTTCAAGCTTTCAAAAGCTGCTGACCCGTCTTTTCAAATTAAAAATGCACAGCACAGTTGACTCCCCGCCTCCTAATACACTCCCCCCCCCCCCCCCCCCCCAGGAGGACCCGCCCAGCAGAGAGGCCGGATGAGCAGCCTGGCAGCCAGGAGCCGGCCCTCGGAGAGGCCTTGCTGCTCTGCTGACCGTGAGCAAGTTCACAGAACGTCAGCTTCAGACAAGGCCACTCTGGGACCGTGATGGTCAAGGCCACTCGGCAGCTGCGGCCCAGCACAGGCAGCATGAGCGTCGTCACAGCCACAGCAGTGACCGCACATCCCCAGTCCTGGCTGGAGGAGCCGCTGCTCCCACGCCACTTACAGCTTCGGCTCCGGCTGGTCCTCCCCCTTCGAGAGGAGATGCATCGGGTGCCGCACCACAGAACTAGCCCTGCTTCCCGTCAGTACCCGGTCCGGAGCAGAGCCCCACTTCCTCACACCCCCGATCACCTGCACCAGCCCAAATCCCACACGTCCCTCCTCACACCCTCCCACAGAGAGGCCCCCAGGGGGTGTCCTCACTGCACTGAGTCTCAACCCAACTATTAGCCACAGGAGAGCTCATGGTGGGCTCCTGCAGGCATTGGCAGATGGGTTCCATCAGACACCCCCACCGCCGAACCCCTGCCAAGGTCAAAGACAGGGCCCACGCCCGCCCTGTGCACATGAGGAAACGAAGGCCCACAAAGGCGGCCGACTTGCCCGAGGTCACAGAGTCGGGTGAAGGTGGAGCGGATCGTCCAGATGGGGTAAGAGTGAGGGTGCCCCGCTAATAACTACGCGGGCATCACAGGACTATCCTGGGCAGACCAGGCATGGTGCCTCCCCATCGCACAGCAAGGTGGTGGGGGAGCCGGGACTGCAGCCCAAACCCAAGTCTTGCCATCTCTCTCCGCTGCCCCACGCCCTCGGCGCCACTTCCTAGGATGGGGTTGGCGTCTGTCTGCTGGTCGCCTCACAGGAGAGGCTCTTGGCTCTCTGGTAAGGCCTGGCGAATGCCCGCCCCCTGTGGTGACTCAGGGACACGGGCCACGCGAGTTCCACAGCACACAGCGTCCCACATGGCCACCCCGCTGTGTCTGGTGTGCACTTTCCAGAGGGCGCCCACGGTGCCCGCCAGGCACGATGCCTCATTTATCCTGGCCAGAGGGGAATGGGTGGTTTTACATAAAAGAATGTGACCCTTTTAAATGTTGCAAACAGTTTTATTTTAGCCATCCGTGCTGGTGCAGGTCACCCTCCCCACCGTAGTAAACAGAGCACAGAAACACACTCCACCTCGCCCAGTCGGCCCGGGTCATGGCTGGGAGCACCCTATGGCACAGGGATGTGCCCAATATGCCTTTCACTGCCCAGGCTTTTATACTGGAGGTAGAATGATCCAGAAAGAAGGGGGGGGTAGAAGGGGCTGTGCCCTTCTGACCCAGCACAGAGGGCATCCCTTTCCCACTGTGGGTCCCCCAGCCCTGACGCAGAGGCCCAGCCCAGGAGGAGGTCTCCCCAGCCCAGGAGGAGGTCTCCCCGGCCCAGGAGGAGGTCTCCCCAGCCCAGGAGGAGGTCTCCCCGGCCCAGGAGGCCCGAGTGCAAGCTCTAAGTCCGTGGGCCTGGTTTGAGGTAGTGCCACTGCCCCTTCCTCTGAAGCATCTCAGGGTCCCTGTGCGGGGACACTGGGGGGCGTGGCCGAGCTCGCGTGCTAATAGCATTGCTCTGCCTGCTGCCATGCTGCTGCTATAAAACAGTGGCATCTTCAGGGGCTGCTGAAGCAGGCTGAGCTACTTGCTGCAGGCTCACTGGCCCCAGGTCACTCTGCTGTGCCAATGTTTTAATTTCTCTGCTCCCACCTCGGCCCCTGCTCTGCACTCTGTCTCTAACTTATAAGAATCAAGCTCACTAGATTGTGAGTCCTTTGAGGGCAAGAACTGCTATCAGTTTATGTCTCTTTCTCCGTAAAGATCTTGGCTTAGTGTCTGGCACATAGTAGATGCTCAGTAAATGCCACCTGAATCAAATTGGATTAAGCCAGGAAGTTTCATTTCAACCCACAGTCCTAAACTGATACATATGTATTCTGCAGGGCACAGGTTACTCAGGGGGCTTTTTGCCTGGCTCTGTGACTCCTGTGCAGGCCATTTGGAAGTTTGAGTGCCAGAGAGTAAAGGGGCGGGGAGTCTAAGAGTTAGGGAAGTCGGGGAGAGGACGTTCTCTGCAAAGCTTCCTGGGCTCTGGTCAGTTCCTACCCCTCCGTGAGCACTGACTCGGCACAGGAGGTACCATGTGAGTCAAGCAAGGGCACTGGCCTCGAGCAGCTATGGTCCGGTGATGAGCGTACAAGACCCGAAGGCAGCGCGAAGGAGCCAGGACTACGCTGTCCCCGGAGACGGGGACAGCAGGAAAGGCTTTCAGAGGAGGGATATCTGTGCGAGGGTTTGAAGGGTGAGCACAAGTTTGCCAGGCAGACGAGGGGTCAAAGGGCTCCCTGGCAGAGAGGTGGTGTGGGAAGGGCATGGGTAGCAGCGCACATGTGTGTACATGTGTGTGCGTGTGTGTGTGTGTGTGTGCGCGCGTGTGTGTGGTAGGACACGGCCTTGGGGTTGAGGAGCAGAGGGTGTGGCATGGGCTGGTGGGGGAGTAAGTTGGGAGGTCAGCAGAGGTCAGCCATGGAAGGTTTTGGATCCCATAAAACAGGAGCCACAGGAGGGATGTGGGGGGACACGGGGTTAGCCCTGGGTGAAGGCGGATCACGCGGCACACCGGGCAGACTAAAGACTCAGCAGGAACGGGCACCCTGAGAGGCCTTCACGGGGGGATCAGAGAGCCAGCGTAGCCCCAAGGGGGCGCCTGTTCAGAGGCAGCTCTGGGGGGAGGCAGAGAAGGCTCCGAGGCCCCAGCTGCTGCAGATCTTCTAAGTGAATCACATTCACCCTCAAAGCTCTAACCCCCCAAAATGACAATGGAGTGGCCATGATCCATCAAAAACCATCGCCCCTTCCTGCGTCCTTTACAGTCCTCCAGGTGCTCCAGGACCCACTGTCTCATCTGAACCTCCAGACAACCCCCTTTTGCAGAGAGGGAAATAGAGGCCCTGTGAAGTCACACAGGGCTAGTGGCTGTGCCAGGCTAGCACCCAGGGGCAGTTCCATCTAAGCCCTGGGCATCGGGCTCAAAGCCCAGTTCCTTGTCCGGGAGGGGGTCCCCAGGGCTGTCCGGCAGCCCATAGTACAAGTCCTCCTCCTCCTGCTCCGGCTCCTCTGCACCTGAGTCGGAAGCCTCGTCCTCCTCCTTCGTCCTCGGGGACCGCTGCCAGTAGCTGGGGAGGGCTGCGTCCCGCCACTGTCCCGCTGGAGGTGTGTCCTCCGACGTGGGGGCATCGATCAGAGCGAAGTCATGAAAGCGGTCCAGCTGGCACCTGCAGGCCCAGGGCTCCCCTGGCGGGGGGCCAGGCTCCTCCCCCTCAGGCGGAGACGGGTTGGGGCTGCCGCCCTCACTGGAGCCCACATCCATTTCATCTTGGAAGGAAGCCAAAGGTGCAGGACCCTGGGGAGAGACTGGGGCGCTGCAGGGACAAAGCCAGAGAGAGCAAGGGTAGCTTGAGTCAGATTACCTGGGTCTAAGCCTCCGCCACTGGCTGCAAGCCAGGGCGGGTGAGCCCCCCTGGTGGGGCCTCAGTTTCCTCCCCTGTAAGGTATTCACTCCTCTGGAGTCTCTGAGGTTTACAGCAGATCGTGTGTTCAAAGCACTTTGCACAATGCCTGGCACCTAGTAGGTGCTCAAGAAATAAGCCATTATCATGTTATCCAAACCAGGGTCATTTCTCCACTTCTCCAATCACTCAGGGTTCTCCTCTGGGCCCTCAGCCCCAGCTCACTAGGTGTCACCCTCTGCTCCCTCACCTGCCTCCCCCATTGGACCAAGAGCTCCTGCAGGGTGGGGGCCATCAGGCCTGGCAGGGAGCAGGTGCCCAGGAACAGTGGTAGGAGGAGTAAATACATGGATGAAAAAGGAACCCAATTCATAAACACCCAGGGGCGGGGTGGGGTGGGGAGTGACCTGCCCGAGGTCACGAGCATATCAGGGGCAGGGTCTGGATTTGAACTCAGGTCCTCTGGCTCCATGCCCCCCACCACACAGGACAAGCATTCAGTGCAGAGGTCTATGGTATGCTGACCCTTAAGTGCACTGTTCCATCTCCACAACACCCCTCAGAGGTGGGAGGGATTATTCCCAAGTGGGGAAACTGAGGCTTGGGAGGGTGGGAAACTTGCCAAGGGTATACAGCAGTGCTGCTGGGATTTGAACCCAGGCTGGTCTAAGCCCAGATTCATGCATCTGCTACACCTGCCGTCCTCTGAGTGCCCCACCCCCACTGCCCTCTCAACTCCCATATGTACCCAACCACCCCTCATGGCCCACATCCCCCTCCTCACCCCGGAAGTGGGCAGCATTCCCACTCCTGCGCTCTGCACACTCACCGGGGACTGCTCTGAGCTGGGTTTCTTTCTCCCTCGTCCTCATCCGAGCCCCTGTGGACGACCACAGCAGCCTCCATCCAGGCCTGAGCATCTCGAGGGCCACCTTCCCCTCTGTCACCAGCTTCCAGCTGCTGCCGCCCCAGCTCAGGGGCCAGCAGGGGGCGGGGATCCTCGCTGTAGCCCAGGACCTTCATCCGGATGTGGCTGAAGTCGGGCAGGCTCTGGTCATAGGCGGCTTCGTCCCACAGCCTGACGTAGGGGGGCTGGGGGCTAGTTGGGGCACGGCAGGCGGCAGGAGAGAGAACAGGCAGGTGGGCAAGGATTCATTCGGCAGATATCAGAGCTGTCCCCTGGCCCACCTGCTCTGGCCACCCGGTCCTCCCTGATCTCCAAGAGGCCCTCGGGGTCATCATGTGCCTCGTGCATGGATGGGGAGTCTGAGGCCCAGCACGGCAGGGAGGTGGCAGAGCTCGGCCCCTCAGCCCGGTGTTCCTTTCACTCCGAGTCTCCAAACTTAACCCCCAGGAGCAACCGCAAAAGGAAGACCAGTCTCGTGGACTGAGGTGACTGGGTTCAACAGCCTATGCTGTGTCCTCACTGGAAAAATGAGAACGATTATTCTGAACACCTTTAAGCAGAATAATCATTCTCATTTTTCCAATGAGGACATAGCAGCAGTACTGAGCTGCTCTCTGTCTGCCGGGCTCTGTCAGGCAGCTCATCCGATCCTCTCCCTAACTCTGGGAGGTACTGAGGGAAACTGAGGCACGGAGACTAGCGGGCTTGGTGCTGGGGCTCAGACATCACGTTTCCTACTGCTCCTTACAGTCCCTCCAGAAAGTGAAACGCACAGACTAGGTCCCTTGCCAGGGTCCCACGGCTGAGAAGTGACGGGAAGGAGCCCGGAACTCAGGGCAGCACGAGCCCGGGGTCTATCACAGCGGCTCTCCCCACGCGACCGGTCCTGAGGCTGGCCCCATGCCCACCCCGGGTCTGTCATCTCATTCCCCAGAACATTTGGTCGCTCTGTGTCAGAACATAAAATGCCACCAGGACTTCCTTCCCCCAGCAAAGCAGGGAGCGTTCAAGAGCCCAGCCGGACCCTGGACCTGCCAGGCCTCCTGAGCACAGAGTTACAGCCTCCGGGGGCCGGAAGGGGCAACCGATCCCCCGTCTCTCCCAGGCTGACGTGCTCCCTGCCAGGTCCTGGTGAGCCAAAAAGCAGGGAGCGTTCAAGAGCCCAGCCGGACCCTGGATCTGCCAGGCCTCCTGAGCATGGAGTTACAGCCTCCGGGGGCCCGTCTCTCCCAGGCTGACGTGCTCCCTGCCATGTCCTTGTGAGCCACGGCTTGCCGCCTTCAGAGACAAAAGCAGGGCTGGTGTGATCTGTCACCGACTGCCTGTGGGTTTGAGGCTTGTGTTTACACTTATTGAGCCTCAGTTTCCACGTCTGTATGAAAGGCTGGACACCCCTCTGCTCCCCATCACAGGGTTCCTGTGAGGACTGAAGGAGGAAATGGGGCAAAATGTCTGATTCACCTGTGATACAAAGGAGGCTCTTCTTACTAATGATGACAAACACTTACCAAGGGCCTACCATGCACCAGGTTCTGTTCTTAGCACTTTGCTTATATTATTATCTCACGGACCCCCCTGGAAGAAGGTACCATTAATATCCCCATTTTATAGAGGGGCAAAGAGAGGCACGCCACTTTCCCAAAGTCACATGGCGGACAGTGGCAGAGCCCTGGGCTGTGCCGGCCATCCTCATGCCCCTTGTTTACTGTCGTCGTGGTCACAGCTCTTTGGGACTTAGGGTCAAACCTGACTTTGATTTTGGTCTGCCACTAGTTCACTGAAAGACAGGATAAAGTCCTGACCCTCCGTTTCCTCATCGGAATGATAATGCTTGCCTCACGGAATTGAGAGTTCAGAACAATCCATGATTTCTAACAGTCTGCTCTTGGTAGAGTGGGAAGGCCTGGCCAGAGCCTGGAGCAAGGGGGGTCGGGGTTCTAACAGTCTGCTCTTGGTAGAGTGGGAAGGCCTGGAGCCCAGGGAGGAGACACTGTCCACCCTCCACCCCACTCCCTCACTCTCCTCCCTAAGGGGAGACTTGCTCACTGCCTCACTGAGGGGGTCACTGCTCCTCCCTCCTCCCCCCTCCCAAGCACAGAGGGCCCAGCACCTACCTCTTCATCTCTGCAGTGAGTCCATTCTCCAGCAAGCCCAGCGGCTTTGGGGACAGGACGCCTTGGAATTCAGAGTCAGCAGGGACAAAGGCGATCTGCAGGGCAAAGGGGAGACGGCTTCTCTGCAGCTGCCCACCCATGCCCTTGGCCGCTGCTCCCCCCAGAGCACAGCCTAACCTCCCCACATGCCTGGGGAGAGAGGCCCACCAGGGAGGGCTTCCCCTTTCCACAGGAGAGGGGTCTGCTCAGGGCCAGCACCAGTGGGTGGATGGAAACCTGGGCTCCTGCTCCCACCTGGCTCTACATTCACCCAACAAACAAGTATTGAGCACCTGCCGTGTGCCAAGCGCTCTTGTAGGCCCGAGGGGTCAGCAGGGAGTGAATGGGACAAACGTCCCTGCCCTAGAGTTGCTCACATCTTGTCATTTACCAGGTCCTCATCCAGTGCCCAGAATGTGCCTGGTACTTGGTCCATATCTGGCAAATGAGTGGAACATGTTTCTTGACACAAGAGGCTATGATGGGGGACAAATGACTGGGGTTGTGCCCACCAGTCCCTGTCCCTGAACTTTCAGGGATCAAGAGGTCTCTGCAAGTGCGGCCCATGGGGTGGCACGGGGTGGCGGAGGGGAGTAGGTCATAAAGAAGGCAGTGCAATGAGGCAGAAGGAGCCTGCCTTTGGGGACACTGGGTGAGACTCCTCCTTTGGGCAGGTCATCTGCCCACCCAAAGCCTCTCTGTCTTCCCCTGTAAAATGGGGCTAGCCTCGAGGAGATATTTGCTGCATTCTTCATAGTAGTCAGGAGGTGAAAGCAACCCAAGTGTCCCTACACAGAGGAATGGATAAATAAAGTGTGGTTTATCCATGCCTTAAGAAGGGAACACTGCTTAAGAAGGCATGAAGTTCTGCAACAGCATGGATAAAACACGAAGAAATAAGCCAATCACAAAAAAGATAAGTTCTGTATGACTCCACTTATATGAGGAATCTAGAGTAGTCAGAGTCGCAGAGACAGAGAGTAGAATGGTGGTTGCTGCAGACGGACAGGAGGGGGACGAGGCGTCATTGTTTAACGGGTAAAGAGAAGTTGTGTAAGATGAAGAGTTCTGGAGAGCTATTGCACAACAATGTAAGTGTAATTAACACTTTAAAATGGTTAAGATGGTAAATTTTATGTTGTGCATTTTATCACAGTTTTAAAAAATATGACTAGCAATGCTTGTCTCCTGGGGTTGCTGTGAGGATTCCTTGAGATAATACATAAGGAACCCCTAGCACAATGCCTGACACATAGTAGCTGCTCCGTAAATAATAGTTGGATGCAACTGAAGATGAAGTTACCTTCTGAGTCCTGCTCTCCTCAACTGAAAATTTTTTCAACAAACATTTGATGAGACCCCCTGTATTGGACCAGGTTCATAAATAGCAGCGCCCTTTACCCTTCCTAAAGAGTGGCTGTCCCTGGACCTTCCTCCGCCCCATGGCAGCCTAATAGCTTTCTCAACTACAAAGCTGATCCTGGCCCTCCCTTGTCCCATCAACTGAAGGGCAAGGTCCACATTCCTTAGCGTGGCATCGCGGGCCCTGCAGAGCTGAGCCCCATTATTTGATCACATTGTTCCTTCTGCCTGGAATGTCTTTCCCATCTTCTCTGCCTGGTGAACTTCTACTCAGCCCACAAAGCCCAGCTCATCTTCTCTGGGAAGCCCACCCCCTCCCCATCAGGCAGAAAACTGTCTTCCCTGTGAGTCCCCCAGCTCCTCACAGAGAGGGACAGCTTAATTCGTGCTGGTATTGGCTACCTCTAACCCCCATATCTTAATTGGGGTAGCAAAGTCCCTTATATTTATATTTCTTTTAATCTAGAAATTCCCATTTATCAGGCAAGGGAGGATCCTGAGGGGAGGATGGGCACCAGCATTGGTTGAGGGTTTTGACAGCTCAGGCACCAAGGAGCCAGTGTTGGAGACAGCTCCACTCCCCCCTAGTGTGCCTGCCTGGTTTACATCACACTTCCCTCCCTCCCTCCCTTCATGTGCCGGATCCAACACCCACACAAACCCACACCTGCACACACACAGAGACCGCCCAAGGCCACACACGCCAATCCTGAGAATAATGCATGGAACCAGCTCTGTGGCAGGTGTGATGCTGGGTCCCCCACATACAGGACCCATCGGTCCCTCCCACTTGGCTCAGGAGGCAGGGAGACTCCCTCTGACAAGGTCACAGAAGTGGGGGGAGGGAGGAGGGATTTGAATCTGGGCCTGTTGGACACAAAACCGTGTTTCCACCCCACACTGCTGCCTCCACAGCAAGGAACACGTGGACCTATCAACAGTTACTCATTAATACACAGCAATATTCCCTCTCCCCCTCCCTCATCCGCTGCCACCAGCCACTGCCCACCACCCCAGAGCCACCTCTGGTAAAGGGGGAGAGGGCAGCAAGGACACTACCCTCTGCGCCCCAGCTGTCCCCAGGGTCCAGCTCATCATGGGGGGAGCAGGAGGATGGAGCTGGTTATGAAGGTGGCTCGGGCCCCAAGTCCCTCTTCTCCCGGTGACCTGTGCTCAGGGCATTGCACAGACAAAGGCGAGTTGACTGTAAACTGCTGAGAAAATGACTGCAAACCAGCCAGGACCGCCCCAGCACCAAACATTCTGACAGCCTGGGGCTGGCCATGGAGGGGGCAGGGCTGGGGAGAGCCAGGCCCAGTCCCCCAGGAGCCTCCTCCCTCCTGCCTCCTCCCTGGACACCCCCCAGCACAGCCACCCTAGTGGGAGGTGAGGAGGAGACTGCAGGTGGTGGGGGCGGCCTGGGGCCTAGAGCCCTAGATGCCTGGACCAGCGGGGCCCTTAGATGCACCCCTTTCCCCACCCCCATTCCGGACTCATGTATTTTACAAATGAGGAAGCTGAGGCTCACAGAGGGAAGGGGCTTGACCAAAGTCTCCCAAGCAGTTAGAGGCAGAGCAAGTTAGAATCCATGCTCCTCTTCTTGTCTCCTTGGGTCTGTCTGACCAGCTGTGTGACCTCGGAAAAGCCGCACAACCTCTCTGAGCACTAAAGGCTTACAACTCCTGACATGCTCACCCTACAGGGTTGTTGGGAGGAGCAATAACAGCAAGGGTGGCAGCTGTTCGCCTAAATAGAATGCCCTACAGTTTATAAAACATTCCTACATCCCATCTCTTCTCTGTTCATAATAACTCTCTGAACTGGGAGGAATAGGAGTTTGGGGCTCCATTCTGCAAATGTAAGAAAATGACAAAGGTCACACAGAGAGTTTGGGACAGAGCTGGAACTAGAACCCGGACTCCCACACCAATGCCCTCCCTGTCACTAAGTCACTCACGAGGCTGGGAGGGCACTGTGACTAAAGGTCTTCTCGTCTGCCATGGCCACCCTGCCAGGCCGCGGTCTGTTCACTGCCCGCGGAGGGGTGCCCGCGATCCTGCGTGGACACCCACGCTCCTCACACCCGGAGGGATGAGGCTCCGGGATCACTGCAAACCCGGACTTAGGGCTGCAGAGGGGGCAGGTCCCTCAGGTCCCGCCGCAGCTCCTGGGCCACAGTTCTCCAGGCGACAGCTACGCTTCAATGGGCCCAGCACCACCACCACCTTCACTCCTTCCCCTTCCCCATGGCATCAGGTTATGCGGACCCCCAGCGCTCTTAGCAGCCCTGGGACACAGCGGTAGCCGTAGGTCACACACATCTGAGCATCTGAGCTCCAAAGTGTGACACTTAGGAGCGGTGGGACCTCGCCTTTCCGAGCCTTGGGCTGCACTGTAAAATGGAACTACAGAGGGACAGAAGGCTCCCAGGAGGCCCGCGCTGCACCGTGAGTGCAGGACTGCCTGGCAGGTGGCAATCGCTCATTGACTTTGGTTCCAAGCACATGGATGACTGTGTGTTGGGTTTCACTGGATATCCTCATGGGCCTAGTTCAGGGCTCCAGATCCAGGGGGAGTTCTGATCAATCCTTATGATCAGAGAGGGATGGATGGACGGACAGATGATGGATGAGTGGAGAGAAAGGGAGTGCACAGCGGGCGTATGAAAAGAAGATTGAAAGATGGGCATTATGCCTGGGATAAAGGCTCAGCCGTGCCCTCTGGCCCCTGGCCCCAGCTGACCTGCCCCCACCACCGCCTACCTTGGGGTAGCACTGGCACATGCTCCAGATGACGCCCCCGATCACCATGACGCTGCCCATGGCGTAGAAGGTGCCGTAGACCTGGGGCCGGTCGTGGCTCATGAGGAACGTGCCCAGGGCCAGCAGGAAGAGGCCCAGCACAATGAAGCCGATGCGGAAGGTCTTCTCGTCTGCCATGGCCGCCCTGCCAGGCCGCGGTCTGTTCGCTGCCCGCCGAGGGGTGCCCGAGGTCCTGCGTGGACACCCACGCTCCTCACACCCGGAGGGATGAGGCTCCGGGACCACTGCAAACCCGGACTTAGGGCTGCAGAGGGGGCAGGTCCCTCAGGTCCCGCCGCAGCTCCTGGGCCACAGTTCTCCAGGCGACAGCTACGCTTCAATGGGCCCGGCACCACCACCACCTTCACTCCTTCACCTTCCCTCTGGGCCCAGCAGGAGTGTGTGTGTGGCTCTGAGTGAGGGAGAAGCCGGGAGGGAGAGGGGTGGTTCCAGGAGCTGGGCCCCGGCCAGGGCTTTGACATCACCTCATTTGCCTGCGTGGGGCTGAGCTGGGTGGACAGGCGGCCCACACTGTCCAGTCCTGGGAAGGCGGGTCCAGTGCGCAGCCCAAACACATCAGAATGCCGCTGGGAGGTTCCAGAATCCCACAGGCTGGCATTTTAGAATCCGGAGGCATTCTGGACTCTTCAAGGTCATGTGCCCCTCTGAGGTCAGGAACAGAAGCCCATATTTACAGATGGTGGCTGCGTGCGTGGCACGGTCCTAACCATGTTATATAGTACCCACTGAAGGGGAACCCCGTGAGGCACAGACTTTATGAGGACACCGGTGCACAGACTAGTCACTTGCCAGGGTGACACGGCTAGAAAAGGCACAACAGCCGGCATTCGAATCCAGAAGCCATGCCCCAAGCCACCCTGGGATACTCCCTAACTGTAGCAGGAGGGTTAAATGTTCGGGCCCCGGGGGCAGGCACATTGCCTGGGCTTGGGTTCTGGGTCCTCTACCCTGGGCCAGTGTGACTTTGATCAAGTTACTTCCCTGTGCCTCAGTTTTCCTCCTCTGTAAAATGGGGCTAATTACAGCATCTCCCAGGACAGAGCTGTCTGCTAGCCTGGCTTCCCCGGATTCCTCTGTGAGCGGCTCCCAGAAAGGCTCAGGTGCCTGCATGCCCTTGTAGGGTGTGAATGACTGACAGCAATTCCCTTGCCTTCTAATCTAGGAAGATGCCTTAGTTCTAAGAAGGACATTGTAATGGTGGGATTCCAGTTCTGGAGAGGGGCTGATGGGAAAAACCAAATCCCCTTACAGGATTGTAGGAAAATGAGGACTGTCTGTGTCTCTAAAAGGAAACGTTACCTTGTCGTTTGTACAGAGTGTGATTGCTAATGTGGGATTGTTGCTTCTATTTGGCGTCCTGGCTTAGTAGGTTGGAGATTTTCTACTTGTTGTCATCACCGTCCCCCTTCTCCCCAATAAGAGCTGTGCTTCCAGACGCCGTACCTACACTCACACCAGACCCTCTGCCTGCTGTTCTGCCCACACACACCTTTTCCAGCAGCGGTTTCTCCTTCATCTGCTCTGAGATCCCAGCGGGTGTGCGCCCCGCAGTTTGCAGAGGAGGCCCCTGTCGCAGAGCTCAGGAGAGCCTCCCAGGAAAGGTTGCTGAGGGTCTCCGAGAAGGGCTGAGATCCGCCAGGTCATGTCCAGGTCTGATTGCCCGAGATGGTGGCTCCACCCTTGGCTTTAGTTTTTTAAATATCTGTTTTTATTGATTTTTAGAGAGAGAGGAAGGGAGAGGAATAGAGAGATAGAAACATCATTGATCGGCTGTCTCCTACATGCCCCATACTGGGGATTGAGTCTGCAACCCAGGCATGTGCCTTGACTGGAATCGAACCAGTGACCTCCTGGTTCATGGGCCAGTGCTCAGCCACTGAGCCACACTGGCCTGGCTTGGCTTTAGTTTTGTCACATGAGTGAGGACTGAGGGTGGTATTGATTGTGCAGGACCTAATGGAGGAGAAAATGTGTGCTTATCCGTAGGGCAGGACCCACCTAGGAAACACTGTTATCATGATCTCACAGACAGGACCGGAGAAGGGAAGCAGCGAGCGCCCCAGGTCCAGAGGGGCCCAGCCTGCGCTCTCCGGCCCCGGCTTCAGGGGCGATGGGAACGGATCTCTGTGGTCCGGGTCCAGCAGGAGCCTCTCGCGCCCCCTTGTGGCGGTGGAGCATGCGCTCGGCAAGGTGCTTTCACACCCTTTGGGTCATGCCCCTGTCCTTCCACCCGCCCCGGAGAGGGAAGCAGGAGAGGAGTGATTATGCCCGTTTCACAGGCGAGGAAACTGAGGCCGGGGAGGAGAAGGGACTGGCCACGATCTCCCCAAACTGAGTTTGTGGCTGAGCAGAGACCGGGACCCACACCCCCAGCCCCAATATAGATGGATCCGGTCCTTAACCATTCCCGAGAGGCCTCCCCGTCACCAGAGCACTCTCCTCCTCTCCCCACCTTTCCTTTCCTCTCTACGACCCCGCCTCCTTTCTCCTTCTTATCTCCTCTTTAAAAAAAAAAATTAAATGTGAGGAGTAAGAAGCTCTGGGCCAAGTAGGCGCTCAGCTAAATGGTCTAATCTAACCTCTTCCACCGAGCCGATGTGAGAGGTACATGGGGACAAACAGGTGTGCATGGTGCTGTGACAGCGCTGGGTTACCTACCCCTGGTTCCCATTCCCCTCCCTGTGGCCTCTGACCTTTACCTCCCTCCCTGCAACGTGGGGGAGGAGAGGTTGAGGAGTCTGTCCTCTTCCAGCAGGGGGCGCGCTCACCACTGTTTTCTTTCTGTCGGAATTTAAGATCCTCACAATATCCTCAGAAGCAGGGAGGGGAAAGACCACACCCATTGACAGATGCGGATACTGAGGTTCATGGAGGCAAGGTGAGCGCCTCAAGGTCTCAGAACCTGTCAATAGTAGAGCCAGGATTCAAACCAGCCCCCTCAGTCTCTTGCTGAGCACCTGCTCTGTGCAGGACACTCAGAGGTATGAGGCACTCTGACACACGCGGGGTTTCAGCGAGTGATGGCACTCGTCCTTCCTTCTGGGATAAAATATGGTAAGGGCTCTGAGATACGCTTGAGGTCCGCCATGTGCGCCAAGGAGAGAGAGAGAGAGAGAGAGAGAGAGAGAGAGAGAGAGAGAGACTGACTGGGGGTTGGGGTGAGTCACACAAGGGATCCTTGAGGAGTCAGCTGCAGTTCTGTCAGGGCAATAAAAGCAGTTCAGACAGAGAGCGGCATGTGCAAAAGCCCAGGGCAAGTAAGCACTGACCAGGACTGGAGATACAACTCTAAATGCTATGCACACACTTGCCCTACACTGCAGGCTCCTCCTCTCCCTCCCCAGACCTACTCCTCCCAGGTCAACTCCATCCTCCTCCTGTTCTCCGGGCCAGTGCCTACATATCCTGGCTACAGCCTCCCCTCCCCTCTCACACCTACATCCTGTTGGCTCTACCTCCAACGTATAAGAATCCAATCACTTCTCTCCCCGCACTACTGCTCATCGCCTGGTCTGAGCCCCCGCATCTCTGTCCCCCTAGGTGCTCTCTGCTCTTACCCGTGCCCCCTGAAGTCTCGTTCCAATCCGAATGCCAGGTCAGACCTTGTCACTCCTGCTCAGAACCCTGGAATGACTTTCTGTCTTACCAGTGTAAAGCCAAAGACCTCAAATGGCCTAGAAGAGCTTAGACAATTGGCCCATGTCGCCCAGCCCATCTTCTGCCACCTCTCCCTCCCTCCAGCCACTCTGGCTCCGTGCTCTCCGTGGAACGCACAGGCACCCTGGGAAGGGTAAACGGCGCTTGCTGTTCCTGCTGCCTGCAATGCTCTTCCTCCAGATCTGTGACGGCTCCCTCCCTCACCTCCTTCAAGTCTTCATCCAAATGTCAGCTTCCCAGTGAGGTCTTCCCTGGGGTGATAGCACCAGCTCCCCAGGTGCTCCCTGTCCTCCCAGCTGCCCTGTTCTCTATAGAACTCACTGCCATCATTCATACCATATACATCTCTTATTTGTCTTGCCTGTCTCCCCTCACCTAGAATTCGAGTGCCCAGATGGGGACTTTGTTCACTGTAGTATCCTCGGGGGCTGGGACAGGGTAGGCTCTGGATTCGCATTTGGGAATGGAGGGATGGGCGTCAGTTCCGGGGGAGAGGGATGCTAGAGAGGAAGCACAGGCTGGAACCTCCGGGGGTCACGCTAAGGTCTCCAACGTCTTTCTCAGGAGTCAACAGAGCGCCTCTAACCGGGTGTGCAGCGGACTGACAGACCAGAATTTGATTTCACAACGATCCTCTGGTTTTGAGGTCAGGTCAGAAGAAGCAAGAAGAGATGGCGGCAGTGAGGGGCGACTGCCGGGCTCTAGCAGAAACCTAGGGGGACAAGGCTACAGAGAACAATTTTTACAAGTAATTAGTTGCTGGGGAGGAGGGGCGGGGGGTGGAAATTTACAGCTGGGAAATTTCCGACTGATTTGGGGTGGAGAGCTGCAGGGGTCAGGGTCACCCGCCAACCCGAAGGGCAAGCTGAGGGAACGTGGGGGACAGGCCTAAGCTCTGAGGGTCCCTGACATCCCAGTCCTGGTGGCAGGCACCGGATGTGGCCTCTGAGTGGTGAAGACGCCAACAGGAGTGGTGAAGACGGGCCCAGGAGGAGAGAAACCAGGAAGCAAACTGGTGCCTACTGGGGGCTGTGGAATGGCAGACGCGGCCTCACAGGGCTTCTCCACCCCATGCCCTGCCAGGGAGCACAAGGGTCCCCAGTTCACAGCGAGGCCACTGCAGCTCAGAAGGGTCGGGTGGCTTGCCTGACACAAGACTGGCTCCATGGCTCTGACTCAACCTCCAAGGTGCTGGTGACCTTGAGCAAGACATCGCCCCTGCTGGGGCCTCTCACAGAGGAGTTGGTACAGAGAGAAAAGCAGAAAAGGGCTTTCCAGTCTTCCAGCCCACCCCGCCCTCCACCCTTCCAGCTCCCACCAGGCAAAGGAGGGGCCTCCTGGCCAACCTGCAACTCATTAACTCACCTGCCTGGGGGAGAGGCCTCACTTTGGGGTAGGAGGGAGGCTGGGCTCTGCTTCCCAGCTGGGATCCCATTAACCCTTTAGGAATTTCAGAGAGAGAGATAAATCCCCACCCATATCCTTGGGATGCATATGGTGTGTGTGTATGTGAGAGAGAGAGAGAGAGAGAGAGAGAGCAGCTCAAGGTCTGGCTCTGCCTTTATTCTCTGTGATTTTACCTCCCTGAGGCTCAGTTTCCAGGCCTGTTAAATGGGAACACCACCTGCAGCAGAGCAGGCTTGAGGATGTAAAACCAGGGCAGGGGGCTGCCCAGCATACAGTCTGCCCTCAGAGAATATGCAGCTGAGCCCCAGGACTCGGAGTCCCTGCTTGCTGTGTGACCCTGGAAAGGTTACTTAACCTCTCTAAGCTGGCCTTCTCGTCTGTGAATGGGGTGGCACAGAGATGTAGGGATGAATGCTGTAGCTGGACAGAGAGAGAGGGGAGGTAACCAGCTCCCTGTCACAGGAGATATGGGAGCAGCACCTGAATTTGCCTCTGATGGAGTGGGTGGGGCTTACCTCTGTGAACAACTCTGACAATCACTACATACACCACAGATACCTGCCACTGGGCTGAGACATCTGCATCTATTAGATGCATTAGCACTGAGCTGCAGCGTCAGTGTGAGCTTTCATGTCAGCCGCTACCATCTGGTTTAATCCTCTCAGCTGAGCTCTCTGAGGCAGAAGGTGATGCCACTATATTTCCCAATTCCCATTTTATGGATGAGCACACTGAGGCAGAAAGAGGAAAAACCACTTGTCTAAGGTCACTCAGCTGGTCCATGGTGGAACCAGCACAGTGGTCTGAATGCAGAGTCCATGTTCTTTTGGTTATAAACTCAGTGTAACCTTGGCCAGTCCTGGCTCTGCCTCAGGGCCCCACTTTTCTCATCTGCACAATAAACTCTCCCAGCTCTACCTGCCAGCCGGAGGAGTGCACCCTCTTGGGTGCTCTGGCCTGCCCAGGCCCCCGAGACTACAGCCCCACACACATCACATGGGGCAGAAGAACCACCAGCTGGGCCCAAGCAGCCCATATTGTCGGGAGAGATAATGAAATGGATTTACTTTAAGCCTCTTGTTACACAGCAATAGATGAATAAAGCAGCACTGAGAAGCAAGTGTCCATGGAGCGCCTGCTGTGAGCCCGGCACCGTGCCAGACACTAGAAGCAGCTCATGCATTGTCTCTGAACTCAGGGCCTGCGAGGGGCCTTTCCCTTTCTCCCACTGTGGTCTGAACCAGCTGGTATTGTCCCTCCAGGGATGACAGCAGCAGCAGGGATGACGCTCTCGTAGCTGGGCGGAGGCGAGGGGGGCTGGCCCCCAAGCAGGGCAGCCCCGGAGGCGCTGCACGGCAGGTCTTCCTCCGTGGGGTACGCAGGTGGTGCCCGGGGGCCCTCAACCAGTGGGCAGTGCACGGCTTCCTCATAAGTGGGGATGGCAACCAGCTCTGGGGTCCTGGAGGGACAGGAGAACAGAGGCTGTTAGCGGGGGAGGGGGCAAACCCACTGCGTGCCAGGGAGAGAGACGGAGGGCCCTGCCTTGGGCCAAATTCCTTGCGGGTCCCCCGGGGCCCCATGGACACACTTGGAGCTTGGCATAAGCTGCTCTGCCAACCCCAGCTGTCCATCCCACCCACCCTGCCTCCCCCACGTGCTCACCAGGCCTCCTCAGCTCTCGGTAGGGAGAGTCCTCACCCGCCTCACCCCTCCCTGCTGCTCGTCCCCACTGGCCCCGAGACTCCTCCGGAAAGCTTTCCTGACTGCTAGCTCCCCCAGCAACGCTCCCATAGTGCTCTGGGCACCCGCAGTGCTCTCCTGCCCCCACACAGACCCCATCTGGTTGTTCTCTGGGGCAGGGACTGACTTTGAGGGTCATGGAGCTGAGGGCAGATGCCTGGGGTGTTTGTTGAAAGACTGAGTGATAGTCCACAAGCAGAAGGGCTCCCAGCTTACTGTCATAGCTCTTTTTTTAAACATACTTTTATTGATTTCAGAGAGGAAGGGAGAGGGAGAGAGAGAGAGAAACATCAATGATGAGAGAAATATCGATCGGCTGCCTCCTGCACGCCCCCTACTGGGGATCAAGCCCACAACCCGGGCTTGGGAGAGGGGCCCCTCTCCCACAGGACATATGTCCTGACTGGGAATCAAACCAGTGACCTCTTGGTTTCTGGGTCGCCGCTCAACCACTGAGCCACACCCGATCGGCTGTCATATCTCTCACAAGAGCCAGAGTTGTGGACGCTCAGAGCAGGATGGGAGACCTCAGCTCTCCTGCCCGCCTGGACGCCTGAGGCCCTGATGTGGTCCGTGCGCCGAGGGAGTACCTCTGCTTGGCCACCCAGGAGACACAGTCAGCCACGCCGGTCCAAGCAGCCTGGCTTTCCTGAGACCGGCCTCCCATCCCTTAAATGACCCACCGGGCAGGGACGAGAGGCAGAGACCAGGTCCCGAGGCTCCTCCAACCAGGCTCTGCAGCTGGATTCCAAGAACAGACCCCCAGCCACACAAGTGCCAATGGGAATGAACCAGCCCTCAGAGGGCCCCAGTGGGTCACCTCTGGGGAGTCCCCTTCCCTTCCTCCCTGAGGACTGGGGGGTGGGGGGGACAGTGTCACTGATCCTAGGCCTGCTTCTGCTTTGGGGACGCTACTGTCAGATACAGGGGCTGACTAGGTGATCCTGAAAGTCCCTTCCCACCTCAGTCACTCGAGGCCTGGCTGTGAGTCTGGGCACTGGCTGGTTCAACTCCCTGTTCTGACACATTCCTGGTGGGCCACCAGGGTCAGTAACTCCATCAATCTGGGCCTCAGTTTCCCCTCCGTAAATGGGGACAATAATGGCCCCTCTCCCACAGAACTGTGTGCAGATTAAATGAGATAATGCAGGGCTGCTTGGCACATGCTCTGTAAATGGCCGCCAGCCACCAAGTCTCAAAGGTCTCCTTGAGGAAGGGGTATGGGGAGCAAAGCTCACCCCAGATCTCCCGCAGGAAGGCTGTCACTTGCCCAGGGTCACCAGTTTGCAGCTGGTGCGGAAGCCGTTCAGTCCACACAGTGGACCTGCCTATCTAGACAAAGGAGCGGCCGATGGCAGAGGCTGGCCCAGAGGACAGAAGAGGAAGTGGAGGGGACTTCGCTCCAGGGGTTAGGAGGTGCCAAGCTGGGACCTGCGGATGCGCCTCATGTGAGCACCCATCACCCGCTGGGGACATGGTGTGTCTCTGGGCAACGTGTCTTCTCAGCCCAAACCCAACGCAGCCCTCAGAGTGGCCCACGGGGAGGCAGGCTTGCTGCTCCAGCCACAGACAGGCCATGAAGCAGGCAGTGTGATGGAGGGCCCAGCCGGGAGCCAAAGCTGGGATTCCCCATCCAGTGCTCTTCCAAACTTCTCACAGACCCTCCTCCTCTGAGCCAGCCCAGGAGCCTCGCAGCAGAGGAAGCGAATAAGAGACCTCATCCTTCTCTGCACTCCCAGCATCCTTTGCAGGTGAGGGCAGGCGAAGATCATTACTCCTGGAGGCAGGCAAGCCAGGTTCTATTGCTGTGTGACCTAGGCTGTGTTCACAACCCTCTCTGAGCCTCTTTCTCCTTATCTGTAAAATGGGGGGAACGGTTTTCGTTTAATAGATTCAAGGCAGAGAAAAATGGGAAAAGCTTTGACAACACTCAGAAAAAATGGAGGTAAGAAGGCTTCCAGCGCCCCACCTCTCCTGCCTTGGTCACTTCTCAGCCACACCTCTGCCACTCCCCTCTTCTCCAAGCCCTGAAGACATGACACAGGCATTGGGTATGTGTGGGGCCACACCAGCAGCTAACCGTGGGCAGGGCAGGGCATAGGTGAGGTGAACCTGCAGCAAGAAGTTTGCTTAGAGGGCAGACTGGAGTGGCCTTCGTGCCACCCACTGAGCCAGTTGGGCCCACCCAGCGCCAAGTGTCCATGCGGGGTGGCCATAGCGCACACTGCGGAGGAGGCTCTGTCCATGGTGCTCTGGATGTGGCACCCTGCAGTGATGTGGGGCCGGCTGCCACTAGGGTCCCATGCACAGGGAGCTCCACGGGGCTGGGCTCACCACTCTCTGGAGCCTGGTTGGGGCCAAAGACCTGTCCTGGCGCCAGTCCCCCGCCCTCAGCTGAGTCAGGCAAACATGGTAGGAAAAGGGATGAAATACTACCTGCCGGGCACTTAAGCCCTCTAATCTATTTCACATTCATGACAACCTTGGGTGGTAACATATCTCAGCCATTGCACAGATAAGTGAAAGTCACACATCAACCGGGCAGCAAAGCCCCAGCTCTGTCTGGCTGCAAAACTCAGCCAACTCCATCTATCACACCTCTCCTCATCCAGTGCCTAATCTCTCCAAACCTCAGCTTTCTCATCTGTAAAATGGGCCTAATCCTTACACTTACCTCATAAGCTGCTCCACTTATGAGCAGTTAAGGCTCAAATCAGTTAGTGGACACAGCATCCACTGTAAACTATAAAGCATCCTAATGGCAGCAAAAGATAATGTGTGCACGAACTTGAAAGTGTACACACTTCCCCACTTGTCATCTCCTCTGAACCTACAACACTCCTAGGGAAAAGGTCTGTTGCCCGCAGCTGACAGGTGAGGAATTAGACACAGCTCGGAGAGTCTAACTAACATGCCCAAGGACACACAGCTTATCAAAGAAAAGGGCAGAGACTGCAACCCTCCTGTCTGAATAGGACCAAGGGTTCTCTGCTGTGCTCACTGAGGGGGGTGGCCCTGGGGTGCATCCTGTCTAGCCACCCTAGTTAGGGGCTAACACGTAAGATGGGTGCCCCCAGAGGGCAGGGGTTTTAACTGTTTTGTCCAGTGTGGCGTTGTCAGTGCCCTGCATAGGACCCACCACACAGTACTCGGTAAATATTGTTAAATGTGTGAAATAACAAGTAGAAAAATAAATGGAGAATGAGGTCCAAGAGAGGAAAAAACCTGGCTAAGCCATCAGCCCAGAAGGCCTCTCTGACCTGGGTTTATCTTCAGAGAGTGAGGTGCCTGGGACAGGAGCCATAGAGTGACCTCCCGCTGGGGCCAGATGCGTCTCCCAGGCGGCAGGGCATGAACAACAGCAGCCTCCCTGACCTCCAGCCACCCGGTTCTGAATCTAAGACGGGTCCCCAACCTGGAGCACTCTGCGGCCTCCTGGGAGGGCCTCCTCCCTGGCCCGGCTGGGAGTGAAGGCCGGGTGGCCGCACCTGCAGCTGTGGCCCGGGCCCTGTTGGGCCAACATGGCTGTGTGTATAGACAACATCCACCCCTATACTCAGGCCACCCTGGGTGGGGAGGGCCAGGCTCCGGGCCAGAGGGCCCTGAGGCCTGGCCTGGTTCCAACTGACCACTAACTTGTGGTGTGACCAGTCACTGGTCTCTCTGCATCCGGGTTCTCATCCAAAAAGTGAAGAGTTTGGCTGGAGAGCTCCCAAGGCCCTGCCCGTCTAACAGTCGGGTCAAACCAAGGCCCAGCCGTTGGACTAAGTGGCCTCTGTTGAATACTCCATTGTCTCTGACCTCAAGGATTCACAAGCCAGTAGTGGGAATAATCTGTTACATTCCTTAACTCAGCATGCATTCCCCCCCCCCCTTTTTAAATATATTTGTATTGATTTCAGAGAGGAAGGGAGAGGGAGAGAGAGAGATGGGAACATCAATGATGAGAGAGAATCATTGACCGGCTGCCTCCCGCATGCCTCACACTGGGGATTGGGTCCGCAACCAGGGGATATGCCCTGACTGGGAATCAAACCGTGACCTCCTGGTTCATAGGTCGACGCTCAACCACTGAGCCATGTTGGCCGGACAGGGCACCAGTTCTTACCTTGCAGGGGAAAGAGGGCTGGAGAAGATGTATGCAGGCCCCTGACATGTAGGTATACCCAATACTTGGTCGAATGAATAAATACATAAGTGCAGGCATAATTCACTTATTCAACAAGGCAAACATTGGCTCTTGGTATTGGTGATATAAAGCACAGATATACATACAGAACATAAACACATCTATATGTATAAAAGCCTAAGCGACTTAACAACTGGAGTGACCAGTTGACCAGTCACTATGACATGCACTGACCATCAGGGAGCAGACGCTTAACGCAGGAGCTGCCCCCTGGTGGTCAGTGTGCTCCCACAGCCAACCTCTCTCCC